TCTCCAATGTGACATCATAGTCGGGTAGGTTCTTCCACTTTATCAGCACTTCCTTGAGCCCACACTCTCCCTGTCGTACCCCTTTAAGCTTTAGTGGTTCCAATACCACTTTTAAATCTTCTGTTAGTGTCATGGGTAACTCTGAATTAGGGACATGTTCCCGATAACTCTCCTCAACTGTGACACGTGGAACACTGAGTGTATGATAGCGATTGAGAGTAATTTTAATTGATAAGCCACTGGTCCAATCCTCTGTAATATCTCATAAGGGCCAAAGTACCTCGAAGCCCGCTTTTCATTCCAACTGTTAGTTATTGTCCTTTATCTGTAGGGACGATGATTCATGTATACCCTATCCTCTATCTCAAATTGGATATTCTTGTTGTGCTCATCCGACTGCTTCTTTATGATTTGCTTAACCCTCAACAAGTACTTTTTCAATTCATCCAACATTCTATCCCTCTCCTCCAAGCACTGCTCAAGCATTGAAATTGGTGTTGGCTCCTTGGGTGATAAAAAATTTGTCATCTTATATGAGCCTACTGAATTGCTGCCTCTGGCCCCCTCTCTTGGTGTTTTTGATCCTCCACTAACTGGGCTAGCTCCATAGCCTCTCTCAAATCACTATGCCTCATCACTCTAACAGCGGCCTGAATATATGGTTTGAGCTCTTTCATGAAGTTCCACTCTAGTAAAGTCTTGGATAGCCAGTTTAGTCAACTAGTTAGGTACTCAAACCTCTCACCATACTCCATTATTGATTCTTCCTACGACAGAGTGAAGAACTGCTCATAACAGTCCCCTCCCTTGCTGGTTCAGAAACGTTTTAACAAGCAGTCCTTGAACTCCCTCAAACTTCATATGGGCCGTCTCATGTCTCTCCACTGATACCATAGCAAAGCCTTACACTCCAAACATAGGCTAGTTGTCATCAATCTCTCCTCATTTGTTAACCACTTAATCCTTTGACGGCGAAATACTTTTCGACTTTACAGATCCACCCATGTGCATCATCTCCCTAAAAAATAGGCATCTATAGCTTCCTTACCTCGGATCTCCTCCATTCCCCTTGATTCCTCCATATCTTCTCATTCCCCAAGTGGGTGCCCCCCTCCAACAAGTATCCCGATCATCCATTCCATATTCGTACCCAAACCCTTCTTGAAATTCCCTCTTTTTTCTTTCAAAATCAGCACCCCTTCACTCATACCCAACATATTCATGCCTCTCCCCATACTTTATACTCGTCTCCTCCCTTTGAATAGGTTCTAAGGAAGGCATTCTCTATTCTCTTTCCAAAATCTCCAACTCCTGATCTTCTCATCTCCTTATCGGATTAGGATTTACCCCACTCCCTTGACCGCCAGCGGCTCCCCTTACCTCCGACGATGCCTTTTTGGTATGGATCTCGAGCATCTTCATCGTCATCTCCTCTATGATAACAAACTTCCCATCAATGTTTTCATGGACAGATGATAATTGATTTTAGAAATATGAAATCTTTTCCATCAAATTAGATTTCAATTGTCCGATCTCTCCTTCCAATGCTTCTACCTTTTTCCCCGCCAGAGGACCCGGATCTAAGCTTTGATACCAATTTTATAGGAAATAGATACAATTTTCACAAAATCAGCTTATGAAACACGAAATATTGTGGAGAAGAACCCAAAAAGATATTTTTTAGTGAAAGAACTATGAAGAGAAAAGCAAGATACAGTTGAATCTTCAATTAAAGAAGAAGACTCCCACGTCCCTAGATGCCGGCTATAGCCCAATTAACATGAAAATAAACTAAATTCAGCAAACAGGTCATAACCCAACCCTAGGAAAATCCCCTACTGATGCAAGACCCAAATTTTTGATTATAAAAACAAGACCTTTCTAAGATCTAGAAACTTACAAAAACTCACAAAAACTAGACAAATCAAACAAAACAAACTTTAATATTATAAAATGAAAGACCTACAAACTTGACTCTTACAAGCTTGACTCAAACAAACTTGACTCAAATAAGACAAACACACAAAGTTGCATTTCTTTGAGAAGAAGGATACAATGGAGTGGATACTTGCGGAGAGAAGAAGAGATTAGAAGCCAAGAAGAAGGGTGGAAAGAGCCCGCAGGATTTCCATAGAAGTAGAAGAAGAAATGGAACAAAGCTCTCAAGCTTTTTCCAAAGAAACCCTAAGGTTTTCTTACTCAAAAAATAATATTTTTCACCATCTAAAACAGCCACAAACATCTTCTATATATAGGCATAAAAGAGGAATACAAATAACCACCTAAAACCATTAATTAATTTAATTAAAAGGAGCAAACGAAAAGACAAAATTTCAGTGTTCAGAAATCTGGACAGAAATCTGTCCCAAAACAGCCCAAAAAAATCCTTCAATTCCACACATAAATGAAGAAGTGAAAGGCCAACAGACACTATACCGAAATCCCAAAAAGGCACAACAAAAGAAACATGGAATAAAGCCACGGAGCTAGGCAGATTCATCATGAATTCCAGCAGCCAAGCACAAGGACCAACAACCATCTTCATTTCGGTAAAAAGGGGGGCCACGGGTAATAAATTAGGCAGCAAACCAAAGGGACAAAGCCATTAAGGAACTACAGCTGCCCAAGAGTAAAAAACCAGCAGGGAATCAAGGCATTTCAAGAGGAAAAAGGGAGAGGAAAGGGCAATATAAATTATAGAAAAGAGGGGGAAGGAGAAAAACCAATGTTTAAGAAGTAATGAGCTAATTTTTAGTTCAATAAATGAACTAAAAATCAGCTCATAATGAGCTAACCTTCCACTTGACATTAATGAGCTAGGGAAGTCAAAAATCAAATATTAGGATTTGATTTGACCCCCCCTTGCCTACATCAGACTCCCCTTCTTGAGGACTCAGATCCTGATGAGTCAGTTCTTGGTTTCTTTCGAGGATGTGCATACTGATCATCCAGCTCTTTGATCTTTTCTCCAAACCTTTTCAAAATGTCTTCTTGTTCTTTCTCGAATTGTCTTTGAAGATGTCTTCCACTTCTCGAATTTCTGATCACATAAGAACATGTGATACTGAAGTTTGTATAAACGATCTTGAAGCGGATCTGTTGAATCACCTTCTGTAGGAATCCATCTGTCCAACGAGAGAGAGACATTAGGATTATCATGATCGCTTTCCTCCATGAATGAAGCCATATTTTTGGAATTTTTTATTTTTTTGACGACTCAAAAAAGACTTAAAAAAAAGACTCAAAAGACTCCACCTAAAAACTTAGACTCAACTTAAGACTCACGACAACAAGACTTACAAGACTCACAACTTGATAAACTACAAACCTAGGACTACCTAAACTTGCTCGGATACCAAAATTGATCTAATAAAAAATTTGGGGAGGGACCCAAATTTTTGATAATAAAAACAAGACCTTTCTAAGATCTAGAAACTTACAAAAACTCACAAAAACTAGATAAATCAAACAAAACAAACTTTAATATTATAAAATGAAAGACCTACAAACTTGACTCTTACAAGCTTGACTCAAACAAACTTGACTCAAATAAGACAAACACACAAAGTTGCATTTCTTTGAGAAGAAGGATACAATGGAGTGGATACTTGCGGAGAGACGAAGAGATTAGAAGCCAAGAAGAAGGGTGGAAAGAGCCCACAGGATTTCCATAGAAGTAGAAGAAGAAATGGAACAAAGCTCTCAAGCTTTTTCCAAAGAAACCCTAAGGTTTTCTTACTCCAAAAATAACATTTTTCACCATCTAAAACAGCCACAAACATCTTCTATATATAGGCATAAAAGAGGAATACAAATAGCCACCTAAAACCATTAATTAATTTAATTAAAAGGAGCAAACGAAAAGACAAAATTTCAGTGTTCAGAAATCTGTCCCAAAACCGCCCAAAAAAATCCTTCAATTCCACACATAAATGAAAAAGTGAAAGGTCAACAGACACTATACCGAAATCCCAAAAGGCACAGCAAAAGAAACATGGAATAAAGCCACGGAACTAGGCAGATTCATCATGAATTCCAGCAGCCAAGCACAAGGACCAACAACCATCTTCATTTCAGTAAAAAGGGGGGCCACGGGTAATAAATTAGGCAGCAAACCAATGGGACAAAGCCATTAGGGAACTACAGCAGCCCAAGAGTCAAAAACCAACAGGGAATCAAGGCATTTCAAGAGGCAAAAGGGAGAGGAAAGGGCAATATAAATTATAGAAAAGAGGGGGAAGGAGAAAAGCCAATGTTTAAGAAGTAATGAGCTAATATTTAGTTCAATAAATGAACTAAAAATCAGCTCATAATGAGCTAACCTGCCACTTGACATTAATGAGCTAGGGAAGTCAAAAATCAAATATTAGGATTTGATTTGAACCACCCCCCCCCTACATCACCTACTTAAAGCATACGATAATCATGTAATCCTAAAAGAGTCCCTCTTTTGAATTTTCCCTCATAATCACCCATAATTTCCTCTCTAATTGGCTCCTGACCCAATATATAGAAGGGGCGGGAGTCCTTCCGCCTCTTGTACACAAGAGCCGGTACAGGATGGACTGGTCCAGGAGGGAATGGTCTAACACGTGGCCATCGAGATTGATGTGGTACTTCACTCCTTTGATGTTATCGACCTTTCCCAATAACTTTAAGTTTTTTTATATCTTTGAGAGCCCAGGCATCCTAGTTTAATATCATTGTTTGTTGCCTCGCATGTATTGTCACTGAACTGACTTGACAATTTTCTGATTTAACACAATTAGCTAAAATGAATATGACTTCTCTCAACTTTTTTTTTTTGCTTTCTTTGCATCCGAGCCTTCTAGAATTGGCTTGAATGACAACCTAGTTGGTATATGATTTTTTTTTACTATGATTTATCAATTAACTTAGTTTCATGTTACTGCATATGTTTAGACTTTTACAAGATTTCTATTATCAGTTGTGCTCTTCCTTCAGCATCTTCATTGCTTCTCTTCTTGCCTCTTCTGCAGGAATTGCCTACTTGTCATGTTGCTCCAACAAATAGTTCAAATTTTACCGAGTCCGTGCCCTGCACTTCGAAGAATAATGCAATAAATACAGGTAAACTTATCAAGCCATGTTTTTTTAATAGAAACTTTCTTTACTAGATGGTCAATGCGCATCAATCTTATCCTGGGTTTGCTGATTTGGTTAAGGCCCGCTATCTATAATTAGTATATCTTTTACTGAGTTCGCTGTTGAGAATCACTAAGAAACATAGTATATGCATTTATTTAATTTTGATAATGACTTAACACGATTGCTTGATCGTGCTTTATATTTTTGTCTCAGAACCATTGCGAAGCTGCTATTCAATTTTTTATTTATTTATTATGGATATCATTGTGAATTGGATAATATCACAGTTTTATATTAAACTGTTTGATTACATAGTTTATTGATTCATTTTTATCACTGACGGGGTCCTTTTATATTGCGATTACAATAGAAAATAGGAAGCAAACACAATAAAATGATATAAAACACTGAATTGTCATGCTGTTATTGCCAAATATTTAATATATTGGTTTGCAGAATTCTTAAGGAAATACATCGAGAAGCCTGTCAATGAATGTGTAAATTTTTCGCAATTTCATCCATTACTACTGTTGATTCTTGAAGTCCATACATATTGTCCTATAGAAAAAGTGCTGCCTAATTATGTATAAACAATCTTTTTCTTTATTACCTGCAAACTAATCTTAAATATATAATAAATAAATTATAGTTTGCCCAAAATTAATAATTATCATATAAAGACTTGAAATTGGGCTAGTTTAGCTCTTTTGTTACTTGATTTGACTCCTTGAATTTGGCCTGTAAGAACCATATAAGAACCTTAATCTGCATGAACCAATTGACCAATGTTATTGCATCATTTCATTCGGTGCTAGAAGAATTCTCCTTTGGAGAGTAATGTGGTCGACATTCTTAAAGGTAGATGATATCTCCATTATATTAAAACATGTGTGGAATTTCTAGATTGATGTAGAACGTACATGCACGGATGAATTGCTTAAGGAATTTGCATGCTTAATTTTGGAAACCACAATAATTATATATTTATAACGATTTTAACGACGAGATAAAACACAAAGAGTGGTAAAACAAGCTTAGGCTAAATCACATGCGTAGGAGTTAAGATAGTAAAACAACCAACTTAATTTAACATTGCATACATGAATGATTTTCAACAATAAATCCCAATGTTAACAATAAGATTAGTACTGTGATGGATTCATTCCTCACTCAACTCCCTAAATTACTATGGTTTAGCGGAGGGATCAACAAGACTCGTTGTGAATCAAACTATAACCACAATTGGAAGGTGAATTAAGAAGATATGAGATTAAGAAGAAAAGTTACCAAGGGAACGACGAATACGGCGCTCCGGCGTAGTCGCTTATGCGTTTGAGGAAGGGTGGACAGCAACTTCAGGTTTGGGAGCCTTCCGGATGGCAATGGGGAACCTTTCGGACAGCGAGACAGCCATAGGAGGTCACCAAAAATGACTGGACAGCAGCTAGGGACGTTGAGACAGCAGCAATGAGGGTCAGGACAGCAATTCGGCACTTGAAATACTTCTGGACAGCAACCCAAAGAGCTTCTAAAAATTTGGGTAGCAGGTTTCGGGTGCCGGAAACTCCAAATAGCAACCAAGAAAAGTCTGGACAGCAATAGGGGGAGTTCCAGGGCTGGACAACAGGTGTGGAAGTATAGAAATCTGCTGGGCAGCAGTTTAACGGAGTCCTGGGAAGGTTGGGCAGCAGCTATGCACTTCAGGATGCCTTGGACAATCATAAACGGTTTTATGGAATCACCTGGAAGCAAGTTACTCTTGCTGGACTCACCGGCCAGCCAATAGAGAGCAATTTCCAAATTGAAATTTCTTGATTTGGAAATAAATTAAAGCAGGTTATGAGATGAGGGAGGGGGCGGGTAGGCTAGGGCTGAGTTTGGAATTATTTCCAAAGTAAGGGGTTGATTTTATGGGAAAGAAATAATGAGGTGAGTGAGGGGAGGGTTAGGCCAAGAGAGAGGGAGGGTGTGTGTCTAGGTTCAATGTATGTGATTTATGGAGCAATTAATCAATTAATTTCAGAATTGATTAATTGATTGAATGAAGGGGGTTTCCAAATATGATGTAATTAATTATGAGAGATTTGAAATTCAAACTTAATTAATTTGAATTCAAATTTCTTTCTAAATTAAAAACAATCCAAATCAGGAAGGAATGAGTTTTTGAGGGAAGTGGAGTTTGGGATGAGATAAATCATTCCAACCCAATTTAAAATTAAATTGGGATTAGATTCAAGATTTTCCTAAAATAGCTTTCTAATTTAGGAAACTATTTGAAATTCAAAATGGTTGAGATTAATTTCCTAAATCATTTAGGCTATTTAGGTAACTAGTAATGATGAGTTAATTCATCATTCAAGGATGGGGAGAACATGGGTGCCGGCGGTGGAGCTTGGAGGGAATTAGTGGGAGTTGGTGGTGGAGCCAAGGTGGCCGGCGGCAAAGAGGTGGAGGGGCGGCGGGTAATGGGGAATCACGGGGAGGGTTTGAGGCCGTCGGTTTGGGGAGAAAGGGAGGGGATTGCCGGCGGTATAGGGGAAGAGGGAAGAGGAAGATGAAGACTAAAATAAAGAACCAAGAACTCACAAAGAGATCGTAGAACTGCGAACCTTGGACTCTTCCAAAGGTTGACGGGTATTGCGATTGCCCACACCTTGGGTCTTCCTTCTTCTCTCAAACACTCAACATTTAGGGAGACAAAGAGAAATATGAATTTTCATTAATCAATCATCATCCCAAATTACAAGAGGGCTAGACTATAAATAGGCCCATGAAAAGAAAAGAAACAAAGACTAAAACGTCCTTCGGGCTACAACACCACATAATCACCCCTAGAGGTAAAATGGAAAAAACAGAAATATAAAATAAACTAGTACATAAGACACATCAAAAATAAAATAAACTCTAGATCGTAGCCGTTGATCTTCCGATGTCCTCATTATAGATGCTACCTCATATGAGCGGTAGAAACGGAAACTCACCATGGCCTACAAGAACTCTATCTATGGAAACAAAAAACACCAAGTATTTGAGTTTTAAAGGTGCATTAAATTTATAATAAAGTTGAGTTTTTAAAAGAATGACTAATAATAATATTAAAGGCAAAGCATTTGGTTATACAGTAGATCCTTGTTGGCTACCTTTATATTAGGATTTATTGCTTTGGTGGGTAAAGACGATAGATAGAGTTTAAAGCATATTCATGAATATTTTTTAAAAACTATAATGAATTTTATGACAATTGTATGCCTTTTATCATTCCAAGTTGATTTGAAAGAAAGTATATAATTCAAGCAAATTCTTGGCTATAAGAAAACAAAATAATAAATACATGTTTGGGGAATGCAATGATTACATATTGTCTAATGGCAATATCATGAAGATGTGAATCCATAAAAGATTTACTATCAAATTCTATGAGTTGTGTTAAATTTTTAATTTCAACTTCATTTATAAGAAAGTGTGTTAACCCATGTAAGATATTACTTTGTTTTACTGTGCTTATGTTTAAAATATTGGAAATTGCCTCGTCATCCTCATATTTTTCAATATTGTCATCATTTCAATTTCGAGGTTCATCACATTATTCCACAACCACCATTAACTTATGACGGCGTTGGGAGGCTATATAATATTTTTCTTGACACCTATAACAGAAAATGTCATTACTTATAGTTTTTTGTTTTTTAAATTGTTAATGAGCGAGAGAAGGGAAGCAAGCAGCTGTTTATTTATGGGTACTCATTAGGAGACGGATGAGAGTATAGTGGTCATCTTTCAGATTTCAACGAAAAACAAGAGTTTGCTTTGCATGATGTTTTTGGATGATTTTAGAATTAAAGCGTTCCAGAAGTGGCTTTGAAGCAAAGCCCTACATGGGTACCCATGCTTTACTCGGATGGGCTTTGCCCACCCACACCCACCCATGGTGACTTTCGGGATGCCATACCCATTTATACCCACCCACTTTTCATGTTTTTTGAACGTAGTTTGCCACATATTGATGACCTTGAGGCTTGCCCTTTGCTTTGATTGCAAACTTTCAAGACGCATATCAAAATTTACCGTTGTTGCAGCATGGTTAAGTGTTGCACACTATGTAGTGAGGATTGCAGTAATATAAGATATACGGTGATTAGCAATATAAATCGATTTATCCCTCGATGTTGAGTATCCACCCACAAGACCATGGGCGTACCCATACCCACCCTACTCATTGGGTATGGGTGGGTGTGGGTATGAGTACCCAATGCAGGGCTCTACTTTGAAGAGATGTGAGGTGAATGTACTTATAAATAGTGAGGATGCTTTTGTGTACAGTTTTTTAAGAAGAACCGTTATTGTACACACTTCTAATAAAAGGGGAAAATTTGGTTCCAGATTCAATCTTGCTACTCTTCTAGTCGGATTATGGAAAATCAAAAGGCCTTAGATATAAGAAAGAAGACACAACTCAATTAGATAAAAGTAGAATCATGTGGATGGATTTTGGAACTTTTGAGAATTTGTCATCATCATTTAGGACATGCTCAGGTAGAATTTTGAATGCTAAAATCTCTTCGTTTTATGCTTTTAATGGATCAATAGTCATAAATAAAAGTAGAGAAATTATTTTTTTATGCAACATGCTTCTTAATTCATCTTTGATTTACTATTCATTCTGTAAATGCAACTTATAGTTTCTTTTGTTCGTCAACAGTAAAGAATGCTCTTACAGCTCGGTCAAGTACCTTAGATATGCGGCTTCAGCCATCAGCTATGCAAAATTATCAGAAGAACTATCATAAACATTTTAAGAGAAAGTTGCCAGTCAGATCTCTGAGCAGTCAGGCTTTTCAATGGCATGCAAAAGAGTCAAATAATAATCTTGTTATAAGTTTTTCAGATGATGACAGTGGAAGTGAGTCCGAAGAACAACGATATCCAGAAAAGGATGTTAAAAGGATGGATGGTACATTGATTGCACGTGATTCAAGGATTGCAGTAACTTCTTTGCCGAAGCCAATAGATGGTATAGAACGAGAGTCAGATGGGAGTAAGCCATTGCCAAAGAAAGGATTTGCCAATCTTGAAACTATTTCTTCTGCTGACAGTGACTATGAAACTAGCTGTGGGGCTCAGGGACCTTCAGCCGAGAATGGCTCTCTCCTTAATAGGCAAAATCCTGCAATCGTGACATCAGCATGTCAGGAGCTTGGGCATGTACAAGATTCAATTTTGACTGATCAAAGATTGGAGCTTTTGAGTCTCGAAGTTGCTGCACGAGAAAATAAACTAAAGGTGCAGAACAGATCAGTGCTGCAAAAGGGGGCGGCTGTTGGTTCTGATGCTAATCAGCATGGTCTTCATGTCATGAATCCGGAAGCTCAGGAAACTGGCATTAGGAGACATGGTTATGATGCCTATTTGGAATTTGAAGTCGATGAATCTTCCAAGAAACGATTGAAGCATGATAAATCTTCTAGTGCATGCGATTTTGACGTTGCTTCTATGCCTGAAAATTACAGGGCATTTCAAGTGGAGGACTCTTGCACCCACCATCAGCCTAATAGCAACGATACTATAAAATCTTCTGTTATAAAATCCAAAGACTCATTTTTGACACTGTCAGCAGCCAATCTTCATGATAGGGCTCTTTCTGAAAATGATGATGTTGCAAAAAATGGGGTGCAACCTTTTTTTTCTTGAATCATTTTCTCTTTAAGCATTCTATTTATAATCTATAATCTTATTTTTCAATCAAGATCATCAGTTCTATTACGATCTGTGATAGTGAATTGTGATGTGAGTTAATTTTTTGAGTGTAGAATTGATGCAAGCAAAAATTAGGAAAAACTCCTAATTTTTGCAAGAGAAAATAAACACTTCCTAAATACATAAGAAAATACACATAAACTAGAACACCTTCCAAAATGCTACAAAATACAAAATACAACAATTAAACCAAAATAACTTCACTTTTATAATAGAAAGATTGTGACTGTAACTACTCCCGACCGACACCGATCCCGCGAACCGTCGCCTCTCACGACATAAAAAAAAACGCTCCTCTCGTTCAGTTGAGACACACACACATACACAGACGCTCTTAGAATTGAAACTCTTGTACAACTATATTTTAATAACATATTATATTACTATTTATATTATATTATAATATATATTATTATATTATAATATATTATAAATATCATATTATCATATGTATATTATTTTAATATTTAGATATTAAAATAATATTTTTTTTAAAAAGAGAAGAAAAAGAGAAGTATGAAGAAAAATAAAAGGAATTTTCAAACAGGTGTCGAAGACCCCGACCGTCGTACCTTAGGTCCGACCGAGATGGTTTGAAATTGAAGACATGCGCCGTTGATTTTTAATCCGGGCAGATGATTTTAAAATTTGAAGACCCCGGGCCTTCGTATCTTAGATCTGGCCGGGATGGTTCCAAATTGAAGACCTCACGCAGTCGATCTTAGATCCTGGTGAGATGGTTTGAAATCAAAGACCCTACGCCGTCGACCTTAGGTCCGGGTAGGTAGAATTACGGCAGTGCCGTCCCAATTTCTCCCTCGGTGGGGAGGAGATGCTGGGAGGCTGCCGAAATTTTCAGTGAATAATGAAGGACTTGGACTAAAAAATTAAAAATTGATTTGAACATAATTCAAATTTAAAATCAATTTCAAATAAAATTTTATCAAAATAATGTTCGACCTACACTCGAAATGGACTCAAATCTAATTCGATTTGAAATTGACTTGATATGTGATACATTCAAATAGAAATTTTCATCAATGTCTTGCACTCAAAGAAATAGTAAAATTTTTTGAACCCTTACTAAATCATAAATGATATTAATTACGCAAACAAGTTTAAAAAGATTGTGAACATTTTTAAACTTCATATCGATGAGTGATAATGGGCATTGACTTTGACTCTACTACAAATTGATAAGAAAAAAAATGCAATAAACAATATCTCATATTCAATAAACATTCTTACAAGTGGATGGTCCTCCTCTCAGTTATATATGATTGTCCATTCCAAGCCTTCAAATTAAAAGTATATAATATGTCATTTGAGGAGAAAGAGTTCAATTCATCAAGATATAAGATGGTCAAAGCTTCAAACTATTTTTTTTAACCCAAAGGAATAGGGAATTCATAATGCCTACAATAACTAGCCTACACATAAAGACAATGAGTTTGTATCAAACAAATTAGACCACCTATGGGGGAGAATATGAGAGCTTATAACAAGTAATATAATTCTCCTACGAACACTAGCATAATCTCCTAATGCCTATTGAACAAGCATTTCCTATGAACTATGTTGAGTGAGATATTAACAACAAAGGGATATCTTCTATGTGCTATAAATGAAACCTGAATTAGAACAACGCCACCGGATCCGCAACATGTGTACAAGCGGACAAAAGGCGTTCGTAGGCCTTTAAATGAAATCCTGGGCCGTTGTTAAATGAAATCACTTGATCAAATGTATCATATTTAAATAATTTAAAATGCCACTTATGTATTAAATATGATCTCTTAAATTAAATATATCCCTGCATGTGCTCCGATCATTGAATATAATTCCTAAATTTAACAATCTGAGAATGCTGTGCAGGGTCAAATGCACATTTTATGTTTAAACTAAACTACCACCCTGCATGTGCTCCTGTCAACATGTTAAAAGCATAAACACCAATGACCGAGAATGCTGCGCAGGGTCAAATGTTATAACCCGCATGTGCTCTAATCCTCACATCTAAGTCCCAAATACGACAATTCGAGAATGCTGCGTGGGTCTAATATTCAAGTTTCATCCTCATCAAAAGGACTGGAGTCGACATGACTTGAAGTATAAAATGTCTCCCAAATCCTTACAAAAATAAAAGTGACCTCAATGTCACCCCGATGATGGCCGTGTTAATCGAAAATCTCAACCAGAGGGGTCAAATCTCAAATCAAACAACAGCCCAAATTCTTAAAATAAATCAATCGCCTAAAAAACTCAAAACTAAAAAATCATCCACCTCCCGCAACCGTTTGTCAGGGGTGATAAATTTGAAATTAACCTCAGCTCACAAAGAGCGAATGTGTGTTGGGTGTATCACTGTGATTCATCCTCAAATAGTCTCTTGCCAACAGGGACGTGGCACATGCCCTCTGATCCGGTGGTTTTGCCGCGAAATGGCACCATTATATTACGATCACGGCCAAAGCCCGTATGTTCCCTAAAGGCGTCAAACCCTTGAGTTATGAATCATAGGGTATATCTGATAGGCATAAAGTCCTATGTTAGCTAAGGTGGATTCAGATATATCCCCTTAGACAAAGACCAACCCAGGTCTACAAGGTATTCTTGGACGAAGCAACCCATGGCTGTCGACAAGGTGCCTTTTGTCAAGTTGGGTCGATTACCTCCTCTGACTAAGTAGACCAGGGAATATGACAGCCCGGGACGACGGAACCATGGGATCTTGATCGGGCTAGTATTCATTCCCCCACCACCAGTTTTAAGTTTGTGGTGATAAACTCTAAATTTCAAACTTTCAAATTCAAAATCTAAACTCCAAAATTATTGCTATTATACGATAGGCTCATAACCTATGTGAGATCCTTAACGACTTGCCTTAATCGAAAGTTCTCTCTCGTTATCGGGAGGGGTAATTAACTATAGGGGCTTGCGCCTATAGGAAATCAGAACTCAGATCAAAAAGTCCTCACAAAATGAGGGCGAAATCTCTGGGTAGTGTCTTATCTAAAACCCAATCTGCCTTCTGAAAATTCCCTTGGAACCTAATCTAGTTAAAACTCTCTGTTGTCATCGTCACATAAACACTTAAAATAAAAATAGACCGATGGTGTGGAGAGGCCGGGATCACACTCAAAATGGAATTTTCGGAGCCCACAAAAACACTTACAACATAACATGACATTACAAATTTATGACATAGAAACAACACCTAAAGAAGCTTGCCATTCGTCGAGAAGAAAGATACATGTGGAGTGGTCACTTGCGGTGAAAAGAAAGAGGTAAGAAGTCGAGATGAAAGATAGGACAAGCTCGCAAGCTTTCCTAGAAGAAGGGAGGAGAAAAGGCATAGCTCTCAAGCTATCCTAAAAAAAAATCCCCAGGTTTCTTCCAAAAATTGGCACATAACACACTCTTTTATTAACAAAAACATCTCATATATATAGGGGAAATGGGGTAGCCAAAAAGTCCTTAAAATCATCAATTTAACCAATCAAAATAGAGAATATAGAAGGCCAAAAGTCAGTTCAAATCAACACCCAAACAGCCACAAAGGGGGCCTGCATTCATGCCAAAATAGCTCCCAAACAGCCACACAAAAACCAGAAAAAAGCAGCCACGGGACAAGTAGCCAGGGGAGGAACCGATGGGGCAACACAGGGAATCAGGATGCAGCCAGGGGAACTTAGACGGACAGCCAGGAAACCGGGACAAGCAGCCACTAGGGGACTCGGAACTGACAACCAAAAAGGGGAAGGAATCAACCACGGGAAGGCAGCCAAGGGGAGGAAACCAAAGGGCCAAAAGAGGGGGGGGGGGAATGAACCTTATTTAATTTCAAAATAATGAGTTGCATAGAGTAGTAGCTCAACATTAATGAGCTAAATTTTAGTATAGGACATTGAAGCTCACTAAAATAAAACCCAAAATATTTTGACCCCCCCTTTGCCTACATCAATTCGCCCCTGGTGAAAAATTCTTATCTCTCGATGAGATTGTTCGCAATGAAAGTTGATTTCCGTCTTCGGAAGATTTCTTTTCCTTAGCGACAATCATCCAATGGACGGAAGAAATTTGCTCCTCGATGATGGAAGCAAGTTAAAAAAATTATTTTATCCACATATTCCTCCGCATTTTGATCCATCTCTGGAACAAAGTCGAAGAAAGGTGATTTAAGAATATCGACTTTACCTTGAGCATTGTAAATGAACTCGTTATCAACTTCAAGATCGACCATTTAATGGATACAACCAAGACTCAACAAAACTTACAGGACAATTAAAACTAACATGACTCATAAACAAAACTCACATGACACTCACATATATGACAACTAACATGACACCAAAACTTAGGATATACTAACTTGCTCTGATACCAAATTGATGCTTGCAAAAATTAAGAAAGAACTCCTAATTTTTGCAAGCAAAAAGAAACACTTCCTAAATACATAAGAAAATACACATAAACTAGAACACCTTCCAAAATGCTACAAAATACAAAATACAACAATTAAACCAAAACAACTTCAATTTTATAATAGAAAACTACTTGCAACATAACATGACATTACAAATTTATGACATAGAAACGACACCTAAAGAAGCTTGCCATTTGTCGAGAAGAAAGATACAGGTGAGGTGGTCACTTGCGGTGAGAAGAAAGAGGTAAGAAGCCGAGATGAAAGAGAGGACAAGCTCGCAAGCTTTCCTAGAAGAAGAGGAGGAGAAAATGCATAGCTCGCAAGCTATCCTAAAAAAAACCTCATGTTTCTTAAAAAATTTGGCACATAACACACTCTTTTATTAAGAAAAACATCTCATATATATAGGGGAGAAGGGGCAGACAAACAGTCCTTAAAATCATCAATTTAACCAATCAAAATAGAGAATATAGAAAGCCAAAAGTCAGTTCAAAACAGCACCCAAACATCCACAAAGGGGGCATGCATTCATTCCAAAACAACTCCCAAACAACCACACAAAAACTAGGAAAAAGCAGCCACGGGATTAGCAGCCATGAGAGGAACCGAAGGGGCAGCACAGGGAACCGGGACAAAAGCCAGGAAACCGGGACAAGCAGCCACTAGGGGACCCGAAACAGACAACCAAAAAGGGGAAGGAATCAACCACGGGGAAGGCAGCCAAGGGGAGGAAACCAAAGGGCCAAAAGAGGGGGGGAATGAACCTTATTTAATTTCAAAATAACGAGCTGAATAGAGTAGTAGCTCAACATTAATGAGCTGAATTTTAGTAGAGGACATTGAAGCTCACTAAAATAAAATCCAAAATATTTTAACCCCCTCTTTGCCTGCAGCAAGAATTCAGTATCTTGGTGTAATTTGCATCAGCTGCAGCCATTTTATTTTTTCTTATTAAAACTTGCATTGATGGATGTGCCCAACTATTCTCCATTCGCTTTAAACATTCATTCTATGATGTACGCTATGGATAAGAACTCCTTAATAATATGTTGTTTTCCTAGTGTTTTATCTGAAACCTTTAAACACCTTTCTGTCATTGTCCCACGCATGCCTTTCAACTTTGATGGAAATATTTGCAACCCAATTATCTAAAATTTTCTGAAAACTCCATGGTATATAACAACTGCTACTACTTTTATAACTACCAATTTATTCACAATTTTCTTGAAGATTACCAGAACTTTTCACCCATTTATTTATTTGGTAAGAGGCGTGTGTGAATTATTGAGTTGATGTTTTGATTTACAAGTTATCGAATTCTCAGAATGGAATTGTAGAATGCAACTTTCAAATTCATTGTAATATTGCAAGTATAGAGTTTGCAAATAAAGTGTTACCGAGTAGAACTGTTATGGTGATTGCTCAAAGCTGTCATTTTTAACTATATATTGCCTCTGTTGCATCTCTCAACCTTCTGACAGAGATCTGAGGAGTTCTCAAAGAAAGCTGGAGTGAGTAATCTGCCTTCAAATTATGTGAGTTCCATGCATAATATCAAGGGAAACCAGCAAATGATCCCTACAACGGATGTCTTAATGCCTTTGAAAACATTATCTTTTCAAAAGACTTCTGGACTTGGTGGTTCAGTAAACAATGAGGTAAAGTATGTAGCTTTTTTAAAATATAATTGTTAGTAATGGTTTCTTCGCACCTAGATCTATCTTTCGAATATTTCAATACACACTGATCTATTTAAGTCAGGCAAACACCACAGAAGAAGGAAATATGTCCTTCCATTCTTTGTTGAGGTTGGAGGAGCAACTTGATAAAGAGTTGGAAGAGGCCCAGGAGTATAGATTCGAGTGTGAGCATGGGGAAAGCTACGCACTAAAAGCTTACCGAAAAGCCCAGAGATCTTTGGTTGAAGCCAACGAGAGATGCACCTTTTTGTACAGAAAGCGTGAATTATTTTCTGCCAAATGTAGAGCTTTTGTCATAGAGGCATCCAAATCCATTTACCCATCTGATTGGCTTTGTCAACAGATTCCTAATGAAGGTTTGATTTCAAATCACTTCCACTTAATATCTCTTTGACATAGCTTGAGTTCTTGTTTTGACTGCTATTCTGCTGATTTATCAAACTGTCCCTTTGTCAGATCAATCCCACGAACCTGATGCTAGTACATCAGTCCATAAAGAGAACGCTTCATTAGATGGAGCAGTTCTTCCTACTCACAAGCCAACCATGTCTACGGATGTTGATGGAGAGGATTTCCCTTCTAGTAATAGAGTTGTTGAATCAAGATCTGCTCTTGTTGATGTTCAAATTGAAAAGGCACTATCCATTGATAGTTCCCAGGATTATGAACGTCTTGAAGCTTCCTTGAGGTCTGAACTAGTTGCTCGGCTTGGTCTTAGGGCATCCTCTAAGATGAATGATACAAGTAAAAGAGGGCTTGATATTGAAAAGAGAGCTGGTAGTGTAGCTGAGGATTTGGAATCGTCACAGGATATGGAACGATCTCCTTTGCCACATGACATGATGCCAATTCCAGAGGAAAAAGAAACTGCTAAATTAGATGGTAATCCATCTAAGCTTCATCTTTGTTTTCCTTATTTTTTATTTCAAATAATATTTTCTGCAGTAAGTAAAATTTTCGAGCCAAATTTCAGATGTCTTATATAATCAGGATTATTTCTTTTGGGCACATTATTGTTGTATCATTATTTGTTAGATTTCTAATCTATTTCATATCCAAATATGGAATTCATAATTTAAGATTTGGTAGTAAAGTATTTTTGCATGTGCAAATTTGGAAATATTATTTTTGCTTTTAATTTTGTTTTTGAGTACTGAGTTTACTGATTTCTGTTGCTTATCGTTAGTTTTTGTGATCAGTGTGTTTCTTGCATGATTATCTTTGGTTAAAAGCCCAAAATGGGTATTAAATTTTAGAAAGACAGTCCAGTTCCCATTCTGTAATGTATTCCATGATTGGTTGTAGTAATTGTCCTTCAAGTAGTTGTTCTGTTATTCTGGCTCCTGAATTAGAGAAAAGTGTACCAGCTCTATATGCTTTTAAGTAAAGATAATTACATTGCTTTACAGTTAACTAATATTTAAGTAAGGATAAGTAAATATAGTTAATTTATATGCTTTACAATTGATATTCAGACTTATTGCCTCCTTGTTGTCTGTTATATTGTGAAGAAGGGATTTCTGACTTCGGGGATAATTTTTTTTTGATGTAGATGCTATGAATAAATTATTCTTAATAACCTTAATTTTATTGTTTCCTGAAAACTCAAGATTGAACTAAAGACAAGATAGATAAAACCCTTACCATCACTAGCAGGAATACACAAGCAAGCCTACCATCTCTCCCTCTCTTATTACCATTACATAGCTAATGAGCCTTCTTTTGGTTAGATGACCCATTCCAATTTTGCTCCACGAAACAGTATATAGTCCATAATGAATGGAAAGCGCAGTGTTTTAAAGTTTTCAAATTTCATATGTGGAATTTAGATTTCAAGGCTGAAATTGGGGTTTTTAGGTTGGGCTTTTACTTTAAGTTAAGTTAATAGAGAGTTTCTTGTTGATAAAACTTTGCTTATTAGTTCCAACTAAAATAGTTGTTACTGTTTCAGAAACGCTGCTGCTATGGTACTGTTAAGAAAGGTGGTTGTTTAGTGAATATCCTGCATATGTGTTGTTACATGCCCGATGATTGAAAAATGGCCATCCTATCCGAACTTTTGTTTTTTTAAAGTGAAGATCTGGAAATAACTGATCATATTATGAGAATTGAATTTTAGCAGAAAATAGTTACATCACACAATACCGTATAGGTAACCAATATTTTACTGCGCACATTGTCTTGTCATCATGCATGTACTTAAAAACAATTATAATAAAAGCCGAACATAGCCTTATATTTAATTTACCAAAAACTATAACTTAGGCTAAATACTACAAACCTGATATACCAAAACACTCTATTGGTTTATTTTTCTTGGATGGTAATGGGCTCCAAAGACAATCCAACTAACTCTCTTGATGATTGTAATATTTATCAAGAGAGCAATTTCCTTGTGACATCTTTGCATGATGTGTTAGGTGGCACTGCTGAAGGATATCACCTTAGCTTGGCAAATATTCGATGGCATACACCTTTTTGGTCTTCCGTCAAGTCTACATCCTATTTAATTTTGAACCAAGTTAAAAAAAAGAAACAGAACAATTAAAGAAATTTAATCTAATTGACAAAATAATGTAGAACATTGAACTAGCTTGAACTTATCACTATTATAAAAACCACATACCCGAGAATCTCTTTTTATTCCTAAGCTATATTTATATTTTTGCTTTTTCTCGATGAATCTCTTTTTTACTAACTCTCTTACTATTTTATTTTCATATTTTTGTGGATGCCTTATTCAGCAGATTTGCTAGGTTTTCTTTTCCCCTTCTCCACTGTTCATTGCTCTTCGACTTCGCCTCCACGAGTAGCTAAATAACTTCTTCGCCTCCTGCGACGACGTTCCTTCCTATCGAATCCGAAATCACACTTTATTGTTCGTCTGTTCGATTAGAAGTAACGATGACGATGGAAGCTTGCTCGTTGCAAAGGTAGCCATATTTCTTTCGTGGCGCGCTTCTTCGGCTTAATCGACTGCGATTGATGGATGCTGGGATCGACTGCAGGATTGACGCTATGGGACTGTGGGGTCCACGCGTCACTGCTCTGGGGATGGACTGCGGGATCGACGCTGCGAGACTACAGGCTTGGTTGCGTCGGGATTCGCTAATACGCTGCTCTGCTTTGCGGGATGATCTCTTAAAACATTATGTGCTTATTCCGATAATACCCTTGTGTCCAATCCATCTTTCTTTTCTGTTTAAAATTTACAGCATGACCAAAAAAGTCTCATTTGGAGGAGTTGAGGGACCATTTTGGTCCTTTTCTCATATGTGAATTGACGAATGTTTCTTTTTGAATTGCTCTTACATTTATGAACTTGACAAATTTCTCCATTAGAGTGTCTTTTGTGTTGAGGAGAATGTTTGTTCCAATATCATAAAAATTCATTGGCAACCCTCAAAGCCATTGTGCCCCAACATTTGAAGGTGGTTTTTCTTGAATCATGCAATCCATTCACCATGCAGTAAGTAGGCCCAAAAAAATTCCATGATAACATAAACATATGAAATATTAGGTGGTGACCAATTAGTAAATTGTCATCCCATTATTCCTAATTTAGTTTGATGTCATGCATGATATCTTGTATGACTATCTACATGAATAACATGCCACATTCACAATGATGGAAAATTGCATATTGAACAAATATAATTTGTTTGATCCCTTCCCCCATTTTATCCTTCACATAAATATTTTTATCTTTCATCCCCCATAAATAAATATTGATCATGCATGCTAATGCTCAATGAGATTTGATACATGGAATCCTAAAATATTGACAATAATGTAAAATAAGTTACATAGTGCATTCACTTTGCTTTAGGATATGGCATTTTACAAGGAGAGAAAAGGATATACAAATCTTTTTTATATTAAGAAGTGATTTAATGCATCTAACTTAATCAAAGCTTTTAAATCTCCTTCTTCATGAATTTTAGTTATGGAAAAGAAACAAATACCTGAGAGAGATTGATGATAGTAGAAATGTAAAGGTTGAGATGAATATGGGCTAAAATTAGTGTGGGTATATTAAGAAGTGATTTTATAAGAGGGATGATGGAAACAACATCGATTTAAGATGTTAGAAAGAAGTAGAAGAGAAAAAGGGAGAAATAATTGATGAATTCTCCATAATCTTATTTGACTGAAACTTGGCCCATTTTAGAGTTTTAGAATGGGTAAAAATAGGGAAAAATAATCATATCCTTTCAAGAATGGAAATATAAATAATACAACAGTTATTTCATTTTAAAACCACTTAATATATGTGCTAGAATCCCTAGGACAAAATTAAGAGGCAGCCTTGCAATTCGTGTCTACTAAATCTGCCAAAAATAAAGCTTCCATGATGAAGAACATAAATGCAACAAATGATTTGATTAAGAAATTTGCACGCTTAAATTTTAGAGGACAATCATAAACAAAACTTATATTGATTTAACGATAAGATAAAACAATAAGGTGATAAAATAAGCTTAGGACAAATCACATGCGTTGGAGTTAAGATCTTAAAATAGTCAATTAATCTAACGTTGTTACGTACATGAAATATTTTCAACAAAAATCCCTACGCTAACAAAAATATTAGTCACTATGCAAGGATCCCTCATTCAACTTCCTAGATCACTAAGCTTTAGTGGAGGCGAGTAAACATAAACTTTGTGAATCAAATTATAACCACAAATGAGAATAAATTAGGAAGATAGGGAACTTGAGGAAGAGTTTACCATAATCAAATTCTTAGGCGTGGTTAGTGGCGAGGAAGGTCCGAAGTATGGTGGTTGTTCTTGATGACACTATGCGGTTGGACAGCCAGTGGAGTCTTCTGGGTAGCAAACGGAAGTCTCCCGGATGGCAAAACAGCACTAGAAGGCTGCTAGATTTTCTGGACAGCAAGAGAAAACACTGGGACAGCAATTTCCAAGCTCTTGGGAGGGAGGGCTGCCATGCCACACATCCAGAATTTTCTGGACAGCAAGGGGGTTGTCTGGGACAGATTCTGGGCAGCAGCCTGGATCTATTTGGACAGCACGTTGCTGCTTTCTGAAGTTCTGGACAGCAATCCACTTAGGGAAATAAGGTTTGATTGATTAATTTGAGTGGGAGAAGATGGGGGAGTGGGGATAAGAGTTTCCTAAGGTGTATCTCTTCCTTTGGAAATAATTCAAGTGACTATTGGTAAATTAGGGGCGGCGGCGGGCAGGGAGAGGGAAAGAGGTTTTAATTCTTGCCAATGGGGGAAGATTTCTTTTGGAGAGAAATTAAGTGGTGGGGACAAAGGGGAGGAGGGGCCGGCAGCATGGTAGAGGGGATTAGGGTTGGGGTGGGGTTTTAAGACTTGCTAAATCAAGCCCTTGTAAAAGAGGAAATGAATGTTAATCAATCTCAATTTGAAATTGATTTGGCTTAGATTTAGGAGTCTTTCCTAAAATAGATGCTATTTTAGGAAATAATTCAAATATTAATTGAGAATTTGAATTCTAAGACTTTCCAAATGGGTTAGGAGGAGAAAAAGAAAATAGTCAAGAGGGGTTTGAATGTGGGCGGCAAGGGGAAAGGGAGGGGGCCGGCCATTAAGAGGGAAAATTGGATCTTTAATTGATTGCCAATCAAAGCCAACTTAAATTAGGAAAGGGGTCTTGAAATATTCTTGATTAGAATTCTGATTCATTGGGATTAGATTTGAGGAAACTTTCCAAAAATAAGCTATGGAAATTAGGAAAGAATTGGAAGTTCAAACTTATTTGAATTTGAATTCAAATCCTTCTCAAATTAGTAATGTAGCAATTTAGGAAAGTAACAAATCTTGGAGGGGAATTAAGAGGGCCGGCGGCTCGGGTGTGGAGTGAGAGGCCGGCGGCTATGGGGTGGGGGCT